CCCTGTATGAGCGCGATGGGCTTGTGGAGTTTCGTCGTTGGCCCGGCCCGACTCCAGCCCTCACCCGTTGCATAGAGCTGTACCGCGAGAACCCTGTCTGGACCACTGCCATGGTTCCCGACCCGCGCCATTGCTCCCTGCTTGCACCACCTTTCCCAGACCCTGTCTGGGAAGGAGCCACAGACGGCCCCTTCTTCTCGTCGCCTGCGTATGGAGACGGCTCGGGAACGCATGGCCCCTCGCCGCTCACTCTCCGTTGTGGATGGGGTGTCTGCTCATTTGCCCCGCGTAGTCGCAATGTTTTTGGTGAGCCCATCGCCAATGATCGGCTTCGGCTTACTGCTGGTGCATATGGCGTATATCCCTTTCTCACCCAGGATGTTTCAGGGGCTGAGCTTTATGCGTTTTTATTTTATCTAACCCATGCTGCCCCCTCCGACTGCTATGAGTTTGTCACTGATGCCCAATACGTCGTAGACGGTTGGGCATTGGGGTATGAAGCTACCACGCACGGATGGGCCACTCACGCATCCTTGTGGGTCCGTGTCCACCGTGCGGCTTCAGATATCGGGTATCACCTAATTAAGGTCACCAAGGTTCGTGGCCACTGTGCGCAATCTTGGTGTGTATATCGGTCATTGTATAGCATGGATTTTCAGACATGTGCACAAAAAGGCTTGGGCGGCGGATTCTGACGAGTCCCCTGCCCCCACGGCCCCATCCTTAGTCCTCCCTGGTGCCTCCTCTGGGGCCTTGCATGAGCACTTCTGGGACCCCTCAGCGGGTCGTTTTCGATGCGTGAATTGTTGGGCTAGTTCAGTCTCCAAGAGCTATTTATTGCGTTCGCAATGCTCTTCTCCCACTGGCGGTGGGCACGTGCTCAGGCGGCTAAATAATATCATAGTTTGTCGACGATGCGGCCGCTACTCGTGTAAGAAAGCAGTTGATTTAACTAAATCATGCACTGGGCCTCCTCGGGCCTCTGGCACCATCTCACGGCTTCGACGCATGTGCGATGGTCGTGACCCCCGCGCTGATCAACCAGTCGGTGAGGTCACTGCGGTTGACAATGTCAACGTTATATATGCCTTTCCTGCCCCTCACGATGTCTTTAATGTTCAGGCATTGTTTGATCCTGCATGGCTTTTAGAGGCCCCGTAGATTTCTCGGGGCATACTTCGGAGGTGGGGTGGATGCAACGGTGCCGGCGTGTGTGCTGCCCACCGAGCCGCACGGGCACGCCATGGGATATCTGGTCTGTCTCGTCTGTCTGATGCCGGCAGGGCTACTCGGATCCCCGACACCAGCCGCCAGAAGTGTTGTTCTGCAGTACTCCCTTTCCTGGCCGCTACAGAGGACAGCTTCCAGGAAGTAGGGTAGGCTTGGGATAAGTGGGCACAGAGGCGCTGAGAAGCAGGCACCCGTTCCGCCTGCGCCCACTTATCCCGTCTGTGCTTTTGGCATTCCTCCCCTGGCCAGGCTCGCAAAGAGAGAAGACTCTTGCCCGCCCGCCGCGCGGGGATATCCGCGCACGCCTCTCTGCATGTGCTTTCTCTCTGACAGTCGGACAGTCGGACAGTCGAAATGTCTTATGGCTACGCGCCAGGGACTAGTAGGCTGAGGATGAGTGGGCACAGAGGCGCTGAGAAGCAGGCGCCCGTTCCGCCTGCGCCCACTCATCCTCCTTCTGCGCTGCTTTTGTCCTTCCCCCCGCCCAGGCTCGCAAAGAGAAGCAAAGAAATTTCTCTTCGCTTCCTGCTGCGGGGGGCGGCATGCTTTCTGCCTCTCTAGCCTTGCTCTCTGTAGTGTCCTGTGCCGATTCGTCAGAGTTCTAGGCTAGGCTAAGGATGAGTGGGTACAGAGGCGCTGAGAAGCAGGCACCCGCACCGCCTGCGCCCATTCATCCTTTATGTGCTCCTTTTGTCCCCCACCAGCCCAGGCTCGCGAAGAGAGGAAGGGCTCTCCGCCGCCGTGCTGACTCTTTCTTGTTGTGTAATTCTGCTGCTGACCAGAGGTTGAGGCTGGAAGCCCATGAGCCAGGACGCGGGCTTCAAATTGTCTCACCAGTCTTGCCAGCATCGCTTGTCTGTTCGGGCCCTCGAATTTTCTCGTTGTCCCTGTTTGCTCGGGTCGGTCCCTCGCTCGGCTCTGTCGGGTCCTGGTCCGTCCCTCGTTTCTTTCGGCCCTTCCTCGGGCCCCTCGCTCGTCGTTTCGGCGCCACGGGCAGGAGTGTTCGGCAGACGATCACCCGCGCGCAAAAAAAAACCCTACGCCACGAGCCCCGATGCCGAATGCATCAGCCATCAAGCGCGCGCCCAACGCCATGAACCCTGAGCCATAGGCCAGCAGCCCTGAGCCGCAAGCCCCCAACCCTAAGCCCCAAACCAGAATCACCGATCAGTTTGCTTCGGCTGCTGCGCGCGCGGCATAAATAACTCCGTCAACAAGATGGCGTCGGCCGCGGGGCCGCGGATGCTGCATCGCCCATGCAGCGCCGCACCTGGTCAGACGCTCAAAGCAACATTTGTGAATTCACAAATCCGCCCCTGCGCCCCCGCCCCCTGCGCTGCCGCCGCTGCCGCTGCTGCTCACCGCGGTCGTCGTTGCTTCTACACGGCGCAACCACTGCCAGCACCGAGCCCGCCCATGGACGCAACGGAAATGCCCCGCGCATTGCCGATGACCATCTGATGCAGATGGCGTAAAATTACGGCCCAGGGCTTCGGAGAAGGGGGCGCGGGGCTTCGGGCGCATGGATTTGGACATGATGCATCGGGCCGGGGGTCTGCGGCTGTCGGCATAAGGCTTGAAGCAAGGGTCTGACAGGTGATGGCATAGGAGCATCGGAATTAAGCCTTCGGGCTCCGGCTTTTTAGAGCTTGCGGCACAAGGCGCATAAATCAGGTTTCGAAGCTCAGGGCCAAGGCCCCACGGCCCAGGGCGGAGGACACAGCGCGTCAACCATAAGGCACAAGGCCCAAGGAGAGCAAGGGAGCGCGCTGCCATCGGATCCGGGGATCGGGTCCTGAACAGGGCGGCGCGGCGGGGACTCGGCCCCAGGATCAAACAATAATTCCCCGCGGCCCCCAACTATTGTTCCCGGTGTCCTCCGCGACGGCGCCAGTGATGTGGTTGAGCAGGCGCCCGCTGCAAAACCCACTTTGCCCACGAGCGTTCCGAGCCCTGCAGACGATGCCACCACTTCTGAACCGAAGATCGGTGCAGAAATCCAATCGGAAATTTGAAGACGTTGCAAGCGCTGCTCTGCGTTGCGGGTCGCCCGTCTCGCCCGATCGATCCAAGACTCCAAGTCGACTTGAGTACTGCAACTGCTATGACTGCTCGAGGAACTATTGGTTGCGGCGGTCTCGCTGGATGCGTTCTGGTTCTCGTCTCACTTCAGCCTCCTCCAGGGTGCGCGGACGATCATTCGGAGCATCCGCCGCTGGGTTCGCCGCACCTTGTTTCCAGATGCTTGGTCATGACCCATGCTTCACAGCCGTGCAACATGGTCGAATATACTACGCTTTCAAAAAGCCGAAGAGGAGAATTGATGGAGCACTGATTGTTTGTAAACTCAGCCCAATGAAGGTTGAACTTTTTCCACGCCATGAACATGATGTGTTCGACGTCTCGTGCGTGCTGCTGAACGAAATCCGTCGTCCCAGAAAATTCCACGCACCCGAACATGGCATGATCTTGTTGTTCATGTCGTCGGCCTTCGGTGCAGCTGCTTTGGGACGCCCCGTGCACATGTAGTGTTGATCAGGATCTTCGTTCTGTCTGGGTGGAGCTCCAAACCTCTTTCTCGAGCTGCGTCGCGAATGTCTTGGAGCATGTTCCGGACCTGGTGTAAAGATGTGCCAATCAACAAGACGTCGTCCGCGAATGGTAAATTAGTAATCCAACGAGCTTGCCCAACATTGAACCCAATCCTTTGCGCTGCCACTTAGCTTTAACAACGCGCGTGGCATGTTCCAACGGACCGTTGAACAGCAGCGAGCTGAGAGGGTCGCCTCGTTTGGTGCCGCGCTGAATCGGGAACAACTTGCTCATTCTGTCGGTGCGTACTCTTGCAATCTGTCAAACATACGAGTTTGACAAGAAGCGCAAGTACCCGTCCGGCACACCTTGTCGTTGCAATTCTGACTGCAAGCTGTCCTGCTCGATGGAGTTGAACGCTTTGCGAAAATCTAAGGCGGCTATCCATAGCGGCAATTGAAACTCATAGAACTTCTCCTGCAACATCGTCACTGTGAATAGATGGTGCGCCGTGCTGAAATTGCCCCGGGACCCAAGTTGATCCTCACATTGATGTGTATCCAATATCGGGTACAGCTGGGCGCACAGCAGCTTGGCGAACAACTTGTACAAGGCAGGGATTATCGCGATAGGGCGACTGTTTTTGGCATCGGCCGCATGGCCAGACTTGCGAATGACAGTGAGAATCGATTATTTCCAGGCCTGTGGAAGCGTTCGTGGCTCACGTATGGCATACGTACGTTCGTGGTACGGCGCATCCCCGCCATGGTACGACACGGCACCACCACGGCGCGGCACGGCACGGCACCACGGCACGGCACGGCAACGAGGAACGACACGGCACCACCACATGAACCGCGCAACGGGGCGCGGCGTCGCGACACAGCACGGAGCAGCGGCACGGCACAGGGCGCGCGGCAGACCCAATTGTGAGATGGCCTCGCCTTGGCCCTGCAACACTGCACGGCACGCCGCGCGGGCGCGGGCAGGTCCATGGCCATCAGCTGAACACGATGACGGGTATATGAGAAACTTACCTCAGGCCCTTAGGAACGGGCGCCCGACCATGACGAACACACGTTCTGGGCGAAGGAGAGATTCCTACCAAAAACCATCAGGGGCCGCCAGTGCCCACATCCAAGAAACGGCGTCGTAAAGCAATAGTGCCATCATCGTCATCGTCACCATCATCAACAGCAACAGCCCTCTGCCAGGCAGGTCACTCGCGCGCGCGCGTCCTGAACTTATGCTCCGGCATGCGGCCCGACCGCGCGAAGCTCAGGGCCTCCTCGGCAGAGGGTGAAGGGTAGGGGCAACGGCAGGGTCGAGAGAAGACAAAGGGCATCACTTTTCAGCACAGCGGCCAGCGACCAGGAAAATCTCCGCTAAGGCGGCGGGGGGCCCAGGGTTGAACCTGACTCTGACCATTCGCTGGGCGCCCCGGCTGTGCCCAGGAGCGCGCGGACAGGGAAGGAAAGGAAGGTCGATCGGGGGGGAGGGGGGGCGGTGGCGGAGGGGGACGGGGGAACCAGCAGCGCGCAGAATGGGGCGGGAGGGGGGCTTTCCTCTGGGAAGGCAGGGGCCCTTCTCAGGAGGGATCGGTCGCTTCGAAACGATTCCCCCCCGCGGCGCACAGGGTGTGAGGGGGGGGCGCTCTCTTAGAGGGCCTGTTCCGTCCCGCTGCCCCCAGCTGCTGGCCGCCAAGAGAGGCGATCCCTCCAGTCTGGTGGCAACGCAAGAAGAGCACGACCGGCATCTTGAATTGATCCTTCTGTGGGGGTCCCCGCCGTCGGCGCCGAGGCGCATGCAGACGCGCTCTGTTTGTGACGAGCTTGCGTCGCGTTTTCCTGTGCGTCGCCCAGGGTCCACCTGGAAGAACACAGAGTCTTGCTGACCAGCCAACCGATTGCACGCAGCCCACGTGGCGCCATGCAAACCTATGCAAACATATGCACTGCAAGGAAAGAAGGCTGTGCCAAGCAGCGCAAAGCAAAGCGATGCAAAGCTGCTGCCAAATCATTGTTTTGACGGTAAAGGCTGAGACCACGAAGAGTGTCCAACAGATGCTCTGACCCTCCACCTGGCGACAAAATCGACGTCCGCAGCGATGCACACTCTGAACGCCGAGGAGGATGCCCTCGGAGAAATCGAACCCCGCCTCCCGAAGCGACCGTCCTGGCGCAATGCACTGCATCATGATCCGCTCTGGGGCCCACCTGCCGTGCCACTGGACCTGCCACAGGCGCACGACTGTTTTGATTTGCGGCGCCCTGGGTCCAAGTTGCAGTCGAGCTAGAGCAGGGCTGATGCTGAGCGAATGGGGCACAAAGACTGGCGCGCGACAGCCAACAACAACAGAACTCGTGGGCTAGGCCGCTGGGCCAGATGCTTGGAGCAGGACCCAGATCGATGCCCAGTGAGGATCCGAGGAGGAGCGGCGCCTCCAGCGCCGCCGCGGCCAAGGAGGAAGGGGACGGGGAAGGAAGGATAGAGGAGGAGGGCCGAGGAGGGGGAGGATCCCAGCGGGCCGAGCAGCAGGAGTGGATCGAGGAGGATCGAGGAGGGTGATGAGGGGAGGAGGATCGGGGGCCGAGGTGGGACGCCTTCCGCACCGCATCCAGCTTCCCTGCCGGCAGCAGCCCGTCCACGACCACGTAGCCGTCGGTCAGCAGCGCGGCTGCCTGGGCGCCCGCGGCCGCCAGACTCCCCCCCCCCCCGCGGCGGCGCCGGGCGGCGAGGCGAGGACCAGTCAGGGAGGGGGGGTCAGCGAGGAGGCGGGAGATCGAGGAAGGGTCGAGGACGGAGGAGAAGAGAGGTCGATCGAAGGGGGGATGGAGGAGGAGAGACGAGGAGTGAGTGAGTGAGTGAGTGAGTGAGTGAGTGAGTGAGTGAGTGAGTGAGTGAGTGAGTGAGTGAGTGAGTGAGTGAGTGAGTGAGTGGGTGAGTGGGTGAGTGGGTGAGTGAGTGAGTGAGTGAGTGAGTGAGTGAGTGAAGCGCTCCCCGAAGCGGATCCCTGGCCTGGCCAATGAGACTGCAAGCTCAGCGTGCTGGCACCTTACCTTTGCCTCCGAGGTGATACGGGAGGCGGAGGGAGAGAGAATGCAGGAGCGGGCAATCCGGAGCCTCCTGGGTCGAACATCTTCGCCCACCCAGTGTCCCAGCGAATCACCCTGCCCCTGGCACTACGTACGAGTAATACCACTGGCGACGCTGGCTCAATATCCAGTCAGCGCCCTGCTCAAGAGAACACTAATAAACCAATGAGTCCTGGTGACTCTGGAGGTGGGAGGGCCAGGAGAGGACAGACTGGAGGTAAACGCGGGACCTTTGAACCTTCAGAAGTCCTCTGATCCTACGCGCGCGCCTGGTGCAGAAAGCCCTAGTCTCCTCATGAGGGGAACTCGTAAAATTCTCAGCATCCACGCCAATATCTTTGCTTGTTGAGCATCCAGGAAGCCCACTGCAGCCTGAGTCGGTGCCGATGCAGCCAAACGCGATCGAATGATACCAACGGCGGTCGAGTCGAACTTTGCAATTCTACTGCTTAGCCGGATGATAGGGCTGCAAAGGAAGCGGCTGTTTTTCAAGAACACCTTTCGCATGCTCGCCCAGGTTCGCACGGATATCATCGGACCCACGAAGAGGAAGAGAAAGAGGAGGAGGAGGAGGAGGAAGGACCACATAGCTTGCTTCACATAAGTTAGTGATAGGTTGCACAACATAGCTTGCATCGCATACCTCACACATCTAGCCTGTAAGAATTACTGAGTGGGGTCCACGCTGGCAAACGTGTTGTACACATCGGGATCTCATGGCATGCACGTGGGTCCACGTGCCCGCACGTTGCTCTTTCAACCTCTTCCGCCCTGCGCAGCTCCTCGTAAGGCAGGGCATGCTCTTCAAGGCAGCGCTGGAGCTAGACGGAAGCAAGTGCCACCGAAGACTCAAAAGACGCGAATACAACAGAGCGCGGTTTGGAAACAAAATATGTTGGAGGCATCGTCACGTCTGAGTGGCCGTCCTCTCCCTCTGACGGCAGACCCTGCTCGCCCGAAACAGCTGACGGAAATGTTCCATAATTCCATGTCGATGGGGATATAAGGCCATGGTCAGACACTTGGGGCTGCACGCGGCAACACCAGCTTACAACGAAAGCTGGAAATGCTCCCCAAGCCACTTCGGCATCTCCCCCGGTGGCCCGGGATCTAGGAGGGGAGCAGGGGAGGCTGAAGTAGGAAGGAAGCGCGCGCTGGGCTCTAGCCTAATGCGAGGAGCCTTGAATACAACCGCAGGGGGACTCTGGTCTGGAGCTCTCGAAGCCGCGTGGGGCACACCAACGAGGAACTCAATATCAGCCAGCGCAGACTCCGAATTGATCAGAAGACTGGAATGAAGATGAGTGGGAAGGGAGTGAAGTAGGCTGGACAGGAGTAGACTGGACAAGACTGGGCCGGACTCTACTCCACTCCACTCTACTCTACTCTACTCTATCCTACTCTGCTCTACTCAGCTCTACTCTACCCTACTCTGCTCCACCCTACCCTGCTCTGCTCTACTCTGTTCCTACTCTGCTCTACTCCTACTCTGGTGTACTCTACTCTCTCTTCTCCACTGTGCTCTACTCCGCTTTACTCTGCGATCGTCTGCCCGAATTGAGTATACCACCGACCCTAGTCTACTCTACTCTGATCTATTCAACCCTACTCCACTCGACCCTATCCTACTCGAATCCTACTCTACTCTACTCTACTCTGCTCTATTCTACTCTAGTCTGCTCCTACTCGACTCGACTTTATGATACCCTGCTCTGCTCGTCTGCTCTGCTTTACTCTACTCTACAACGCTGTGCTCTACTCTACTCTACTCTGTTGAACCCGACTCTTCTCTACCATCTATTTTACTCTACTCTACTCTGCTCTGCTCTGCTCTACCCTAATCTACCATGCCCTACCCTACCCTATCCGATCCTACCCGTACGGACCTTAACATATTCTACTCGACCCTACCCTGGTCTAATATGCTCTACTCTACGCTGGTCTACCCGATTGTACAAAATTGTGTACCCTCCTCTATTCGATTCTACACTACCCTAGCCTAGCCGACCCTGCCATCGCCTAACAAAATATAGTATCCAATATACTGTACTCGACTCTTGTCTGCTCGTCTCTACTCTACTCGACCCTGCCCTGATATTATCCTACTCTACTCTGCTCCAGCTCTGGTCTACTTTCGCCTACTCTACTATCCTCGGAATTGCTCTACCATACTTCCTCGAATATCCCATAATACGCTCGATTGTGCTCGTATACTCTTCGCTGCTCTACTCTACTCGGCTCTGCTCTGCTCTACTCCACTCGAGTATGCTCTACTCTACTCGAGTATAGTTACTCGACCCTACCCGACCCTGAACTGTTCTACTTTACTCCACTCCTGCTCTACTCATTTCCTACTCCTACTCCTACTCCTACTTCTATTCCTACTCCTACTCCGACTCCCATTCCTACTCCTGTTTCCCTACTCCTACTTCTACTCCTACTCCTACTCCTACTCCTACTCCTATCCTTATTCCTTATTAGAATATACTCCTACTCCCCCCTCAGGCCGGCCATTAGGGGCCGCATCCGGGGGGTCCCATCCTAACCTGTAAAAAACAATACAAAATCAACATTTTTCTTATTTTTTCCTCTCGACATGGACGTCCTGTCGTCCACGGCGATAATCCATTGCAAAAAATACCACAAAGAGCACACGCGCGCGTTCATGTCAGAATCCTACCGAACACCGTGTGTTTGCAAGCATTTCAACATAAAAACATCAAAAACCCAATGTTTTTTCACAAAAATTGTACAAATTTCCCGCCCGGGCTCTCTTGCTGAAATCATAGGAAAACCATAGGAATCTTAAGAATTCGGTCAAATCCAGCGATTTCACGTCATCGCGCGGTGCACTCGCGATGCTCTGTCATGCACCCAGGCCGCGAATCCTGTGCAAAAAAAACACAAAGAGCACACTCGCGCGTTCATGTCAGAATCCTACCGAACACCGTGTGTTTGCAAGCATTTCAACATAAAAACATCAAAAACCCAATGTTTTTCACAAAAATGCTTTGGGGTGTCCTGTCAGACCGTCGGGCTTCCTCCGGCCACCTCTGGCTTCCTGCGGTGTACCGGGCCATTCTCGACTCGTCTGGCAATGCGTGCGCGGCATTCAACACGCGCTCGCCAGTTCCCGTCGGCAACCGCCATCGCGGCCGCATCAGCTGTACCAAACCGGCTGGCCGGTGTGACTTCGGCCCCCAGTTGTGCCAGCTTTGCTTCTTATGTTGTGGGAGGGCGGGTGGGACTGGGCATGCCATGCTTGACTCGCTCGAGCTGGCTAGCTTGACTCCTACTCCTACTCCTACTCTACTCGACTCTGTTCTGCCCCACTATGTTCGTCTACTGTGCTCTGCTCAACTGACCATCTGACGAGTGTTGGACGCTTGTTGGGACTTCATTGGAATAACCACAGGAAGCCACTGCAACAGCAGAGGAAGCCATTGCAATCGCTAGCGGGGAAATAGGGGGTGTAGTGAACCAGATATTTATCTCATTGAACCAAGACCTCCGATAGGCATGCCAAATAAGAGAAAATCGCCCCCCAAAAAAACAGAGCCCCATAGACTCTTGTGGACTACAATCGCGTGCAGAATTGGAATCATCTGGTATTTTCGAACTATCCAGGGCTGGGGACGGGCGGATGTTGAAAATAACTACGTAACCGGCGCAACCCCAATCAGTGGAAAGCCAAGGGAATAGCTGAGGCAGGCCGGGCTACGTTGCGCGCTGTTTGGGCGCATTGCTTGGCACTGTTTGGCACTGCTGCCGTTGCTTGGTATTGGTTTGCATTACGTTGCATTGTTTGGCACCGCTTGGCACCGCTTGAAATAAAATTGTTTCGCATGGTAGTGAGATGGCGAAGCTCAGCATGGCATTGCTTGACATTGCTTGGTTGTGCTTGGCATTGTTCGGCGTTGCTTGGCGATGCAAAGACCGGAGAACCTAAGGAACAAGACAAGGAAACCAGAGAAACAAGATCGGGGAACCGAGACACCAAGGCAAGAAACAAGACCAGGGAACCGACTAATGTCAAGCGAACCCAGGAAACAGTATCAGGAAACCTGGGCAAGGCAGCGAAGAGGCCAAATCCAAGAAACTGGGCAAGGTTGGGGCCCGCCCGAACACGGAGCGTACCCACCGCTCAAAACCAATAAGAAGCCCTCACGCAAAGCCAGTCGGCGAATGAATTGGGCAAGCGTGGAACGAAGGGGCTCGTGACGTTATTCTGGGAGTGTCTGAAGTATGTCACGGGGAAAGCTGAATTGCGACACGTCGGCCGCATTTCGCGGGGCGCCCCAGAAACGACAGAATCCACCTACTGGAGGAAGAAGGAGAGGGGGTAGGAGGAGAAAAACAATCACAGGAAACGACCAATTCCTGTTATGGAAAAAACGGGCGACCCTAACCCCTCAGGACCGCGGCCCGAAGACATCGAAGATGTCGAAATCCCTTCGAATAAAAGTGGTGGTTGCGGCGGGGGCCGCGCCGACGAGCAGCGCAGCAGCGGAAGCCGGCAACACCCTGAAGGTGCAGCGCAGGGCACGCGCCCTCGGTCGGGCGGCACTCGGCCACGGCCGCAAGGGGCGCGGCAAGCAGCCCGCCCCGCCAAGCATGTAAAGCAAGTCCTTGAACAGGCAGTGGCCCAGCACCTTCTCAGCTGCTGCGGAGGCCCCGCGACGACGCCTTCTCCCTCAGCAACTGCGCCGCCATGGCGCAGGCTATGGCTATGCCTCTGCGCAGAAGCACCTCACCCTCGGCCCTGCAGCCAGTCCGCAGCTGCGAGAGAGCAAGCCTTTGGCAGCGCGCAGCGAGGCCCGCGAGCCGCTGCAGACAGTCTGGGACCGACGCCCGCTCGAGCTCCAGCCATAGACCTCGGCCAGCACAGTGATGTATATCAAGCTCCGGGCGGCTTGCGACGGGCCCGCCCTCACGATGACGCCCAGCGTGGTGCCCCTGGCATCCAGCGTGCCAGGTTATGCGTCAATTTCAACCGATTCTCCAGATCGTCTGGCATGCTCACCCTTCCCTCCGGTAGGCTCTCCATCTCGTCCAGCACGCTCATCTTGGCCTCCGGCAGGCTTTCCATCTCGTCCGCCATGCTCATCTTGGCCTCCGGCAGGCTCTCCATCGTGTCCGTCATGCTCACCTTGGTCTCCAGCAAGCTCTCCATCTCGTCCAGCACGTTACCTCGACCTCCAGCGCTCCCCAACGCGTCCGTCTGTCCTGCTCACCTTGGCCTTCTGGAGGCCCCATCTCGTCCGATAGGCTCGGCTCGGCCTCCGACCAGCTCTCCATGTCGCCTGGCATGCTCACCGTGGCCGCGGGCAAAGTTCTCCATCTCGTCCGGCGGGTTCCCCTTGGCCTCCGGCTGGATTCCCGTCTTGTCTGGCATGCTCACCTCGGCTTCAGGCAGCTTCTCCAGCTCGTCTGGTGGCACGCTCGTCTTGGCATCTGGCAAGCTCTCCAACACGACTGGCAGACTCTCCATCGCGTGCGGATATTTGGGTTCTCTTTTGGACTGTAGTGGCGCTCTCATGGGCCGTATTGAAACTCTCTTGGCGCCTTCCACAGGCTCTCCTGGGCCGTCATGGGGTCCTCCTGGGGCGTTCTAGGGCCTATTGACAGATTTGGGCTGTCTGGGGACTTTGGGGGGGGCCTCTTGAAACGTCTCTTGCGACATCTTGTGATCTTATGGGGCCGTCCTGGAGAGTTCTGGGAGCGCCCTAGGCCAGCATGGGCCGTTTTGGCGGCCTGGGCGTCCTCATAAACCATCTCGGAAGAATGCCGGGGAGTCCATGCGCACCGGGAAAGTAAGGGGGCCGATCGTGCCCCCTTCTGCTATCCCCCGAATAATGTCTACGACCTCGACTCCGTTGTAGTCTACGTGGACGCAGTCCGTCTCCCTGAGGCAGACCAGGAGTGACTCCCGCCAAGTGCGCGGGAGGGCCTTCAGGAGGCCCCTGAACATCGCCCACAACGGCCTCTCCGTGGAAGCGTAATCCGCGCCCAGTTCGTGAGACGCAGGTGGGCATATCCCACATCACGGCTGTAACTACTCTGCCTAGGCGTGATTTTGGACCACAGCTCAGCTTTGGGAGGACCCCAAAAAACTTTACGATCTTCCACGAAAGGCCAAGTTGGCATTTGACCATGATGAGCCAGCATGATGCTCGCTTGTCAAAGGGGTCGTCCTTGTGCAGGGGCACTGCGCAGCTGGCCCTACAGTCCCGCGGACGGACCGGCCAGGCGCGGCCCTGTGAGCCGCAGGAGAAGCCAGACCGCCGTTCCAAGGCAGGCATCCCCTAGGAGTAGGGCCGTTCTCGGGAGGAGGTCCAGCGTACAGTCGGGGTGAGTGGAGGAGACACGCGAGGGGACACAAGACCCTTCCGAGGCCACATTGCCATAGGAATGTGACAAGGCATGGGTCGCGAAGCTAAGGACACAAGGGTGCCCTTGATTTGGCAGGGTCGACCTACTAATCAGTCTCGACTGTAGTCGCGCTTGTCAGCCCTAGCGTGCCGATGACCATGTCCACTTCCATCTCCGCGACTGCCCCATCATGGGGGCCCTTGCCACGGTGCGCACGCGCCTGCCCCACCAGCCCCAGGAATCCGTCCGAGACTGAGGTCGGGCCTGTCCCCCTAGAGGCCGATTTTCGAGGAAAAATCGAAAATAGTCACACACAAAAAATCAGCAATCATCACAACAAAAAAGTCCCCAGAATATTGCTTGACCATTTTTGGATATTCCTCCTGCAGAAGGACATGCCCGACTGAATCCGAGACTTCTGGATGACAGCTCGCTTCAAAAGGGTTTGCCCAGACCGCACCACACTTCATGAGAGCCGCCTGGAATGAGGTGGAAGCTATCGGGACCGCACAGGGCTTCCGTGTCCTGGGCTCTGGCAGCGACAAGACCCGCATGTAGGCCGCGAGTCTGGTCATCTCTGAGCCCAACTGTCGCAGGGCGTCTCGTAGGCGACCCTGCAGCGGCGCAGGGAGAAGGAGGAGGAGGAGGAGGAGGAGGAGGAGGAGGTGGAGGTGGAGGTGGAGGACGCGGAGGAAGGGGAGAAGGGGAGAGGAGGTGGAGCAGGAGCAAGGAAAGGAGGCCCGCCACCTTTTGCTCCGCGGGCGCACGCGACGGCAGGATCGAGTCCGTGGCGAGGCGGAGAGGCTTTAGCCGCTGCAGACCCAGACATCCAGCACTTCGATCCTGTCGGCGCGTGGTCCCCTGGACCCCTTGCCCAAGGCCCAAGGCCCGCTTCTCATCCCGAGCTGTCTTCTGATGGCCCCGAGGCCGAGACATGACTCCACGCCGCCAACACTGCTGACAGACCAGCCTTCTCGCGGCGCCGGACGTCTGGGGAGAGCTCGTCTGAGGCCGTGAGGTGTTGAACGTTGGCGGCGCGTACGAGGAGGTGGCGCGAGGGGGGCGGCCGTCTTAGAAGGCGGGGAGCTCCTTAGAGGGCAGGGGCCCTCTTGAAGGCGATGGGATGCCTCTAAGAAGGCTGCTCAGAGGCCAGGAGGGCTTCTGAGAAGCCACCTGCCTCCTTAGAAACCACACGCCTTCTGAGAATCGGGGGCGCGCAGACATGGATTAGCGATCCATGGATTTGGCGCGCGGTCGCCAAATCCATGGATCGGGGGAGGTGCCCTCCCCAACATGCGGCGGGTGCCGCCTCGCTCGGCGGCGGAAACCCGCGATGTCCCATAAAAACCGGGACCCGTCGCTAATCCACGCCCCCCTGATCCACGTTTGCGATCGCCTGACTCTAAGAAGACCGCTCCCACCGAGCAACCCCTTCGTGCGGGCCGCCAACAAAAAAGAAAGCCTGCCCAGTGCGTGCAGCTGCCGCCGCCACGCTCAGGCCCAGAGGCCGGAGGGTCGGGCGTCGGAGGAGGGCCAGCCGATGAGGTCTCCGCGGCGCTCCAGCTCATCCCCCTCCGCCTCCTCCAGAACCTCCTCCTCCTCCTCCTCCGCCTCCTCGCTCGGTCGCTCGCTCGCTCGCTCCCTCCTCCTCCTCCTCCTCCTCCTCCTCCTCTTCTCCTCCCTCAGTATCCACCTCCCTCGTTCATCATGCGCCTCCTGCTCCTCCTCCTCCTCCTCCTCCTCCTCCTCCTCCTCCTCTCCTCCCTCAGTATCCACCTCCCTCGTTCATCATGCGCTTCCTCCTCCTCCTCCTCCTCATCCTCCTCCTCCTCCTCATCCTCCTCCATCATTTTCCTTACACATACTGAACTCCTCCCTGTCGCACCCCCAGACGTGTCCGTAAGGCATGATCATGAAGCTGGAATTTGCACCAGCTTCAAGGATGGAGGGCGATCGTTTCGAAAATGTGGTTCTCGTCTTAGCGCCGCACACATTCGTCTTTATAGTTTGCAACAGCTCCAAGAATGGAGGAGGGCGGGTCGTTTTCAGAGTTTGGCTCTCGCCTTGGCCCCGCTTATACGTGTCTGACAATGTTGCATCACATTCAAGGATGGAGATCGGGTCGTTTTCAAAGTGTGGCTCTCGCTTTAGCGCCGCGTACTTACGTCTTGAAAGCTCGCAAAAGTTTGAAGGATGGACAGGTTCCTTTTCAAAGTGTGGATCTCGCATTAGCGCCGCGCTCATTCGTCTGAAAAGCTTCCAACTGATTCAAAGATGGGGGGTGGTTCCTTCTCCGAAAGTGGCTCTCGCCATCGCGCCGCACACTTTCGTTTGAAGATCGGCAATATGTTTAAGAATTCGTATGGTTGAAATCCCAGGAGTGGCGTTCTGGCACGATTCAGGACTGTCAGAACGCAAAAGTCACGTTTATTCTTGGTGCTGAATTCCCAGGGATTGAGTTTTGGCACGATTGACGATCCTCGAAGCGTTTGTCTTCCGATAGAGTACTTCACGCAATGAACATAAATCATTGTAGGGAACTATGAAGAGGAAACTTGGAGGGAGGATTCATTGCAACATCGCTGATGCGTGTTGGGTTTACCCTGGTCCTCTTCCTCCGCCTCCTCCTCATCCTCATCATCAGCAGCAGCGTCAGCATCAGCATCAGCATCAGCATCAGAATCAGCTTCAGCATCATCATCATCACCATCATCATCATCAGCAGCAGCATCATCATCACCACCACAACAACCACCAACCTCATCATCATGACAATCATACTCATCATCAGCAGCATCATCATCAGCATCATCATCAGCATCAGCATCAGCAGCATCAGCATCACCACCATCATCATCAGCATCTTCATCATGTTCATCATCATCATCAGCATCGTCAGCATCATCATCATCATCATCATCAGCAGCATCAGCATCAGCATCATCATCATCATCATCATCATCAACATCGTCATCATCATCATCATCATCATCATCATCATCATCATCATCATCATCATCATCATCATCATCATCATCATCATCATCATCATCATCATCATCATCCGCCTCCTCCTCCTCCTCCTCCTCCTCCTCCTCCTCCGTCTCCTCCCCCTCCTTCGCTCATCTTCCCTCGCTCCTCTTTCTCATTCTCCCTCTCGCTCCCCCTCATGCCCAAATGCGGCCTCACCCGAGTCGGGATCTTGCCGTGCGGCTTGCCCTCTAGCTTCCCGCCCCACGCACGCGTGCCCAACTGTCAATGGTGTCGAAGATAGCCAGTTTGGCTGCGGCGAGGTAGAATAGTTGCTGACGGCATGAGTGTCAGGTCGGGCTGCGGCCCAGAGAGTTCCGACGGCTGCGACGTAGGAGCCGCTGAGGAGGCCAGTGCAGGATTGCCAGCAGTCCGTGGGGCGGTGGCTTTGGGGCAGCGACTTGGACACAGCCAGAGGTCGTTTGAAGAGGAGCGGGCGTGCACGACGCAGGCGGAGGTGGAAGGAGTGCTGGGCGTCGGGCCAGGTCCCTCCCAGTCCAGGCGGGGGCCTCGAGGTGGCCCCGCGGCTCGCTGAGGCGGCGCGCAGCGGGGCCGTGGGCCGTTCGGCGACAACCAGCGCCGAGAGCTCGCGCAGGAGGTGGAGTGCTAATGGGGTGGCCGTGGAGCCGCCAGCTGGCGGCACAGAGGAGAGGGACGCTGCGCGTCCGCAGGCCAAAAAGTGAGCGGAGCGCGCGCCGCGGTTTGTTTTCCCCTGACAGCTTGCTGTTCCCGGCCCTGGGGCGGGGTGCGCGAAGATGCCCGCGATTCGCCTTGGGCCTTGGGCTGTTTGGGGTCCTTGATCCTGGAGGCGGCAATAGCGCCGTGTCCGCTGCAGGAGGCTTTCCGTCGGCATTTGGACGAGGAGAGAGCGGCTGTGCTCGGGACCCCTTATGCGCACAGCTTGGATGATCTTGAACAGTATTATGACACGATGTTTTGGCTCAAGCTGGTACGTGCTGCAGTCCGTTTGGGAGTCCCTCCGACGGTTCTCTATCTTGAAGTACTTCAATGTGCTTGTCCACGTACACTGAATCAGATTTCAGCCTTTTCAGAACCTATCGAGGTTACCAGGTCCATCGTGCAGGGTCTCAAAGGAGGCACCAGATATGCACGTATCATGATTTTCTTTGTGATGCGGAAGATTTGCACGGCACATCCCAGGTTCAGTCATCGTCTCTGGCTCGATGATCTTTCCCA